CCATCCATCCATCCATCCATCCATCCATCCATCCATCCATCCATCCACCCACCCAGCCAGCCAGCCATCCATCCATCCATCCATCCATCCATCCATCCATCCGTCAAGAACACCTATATATATGACTTATGTAATATGACAGTGTCCCAGGTTCCTAACCTAAAGGTCTTCCCTCCCCCCATGAAGGCGAGGCCGCGGCGGCGCCCGATAGGCCCACGCTGCCGCTCTCGGCGATGGTCACGGTGGCGGCCTCGGGAGACCGGGACACCCGGGACACCGGCGGGGTGGCGAGCGAAAAACGGAAGAAGAGATCCGAAGGACATAGTGTTTTTTGTTTGGTTTGTTCAATAATTTATTTGTTTATATCTGTTTAGGTTGTTTTTATGTGGTTGTTGGTTGAATGATATATGATACAAAAATAAATATGTTTGTTGTTTTTTTTATCTGTTTTATATTTATCTGTTTTATATCTATATGTCTATTTTGTTTTTGTTTGTGGATTCAAAAATAGGAGGCACCCCCGTCAGGCTGCTGGGCTAGACCATACGGCTGAGTGAAGTTTAAAAGAAGGGAGAGCACCCAAACAGCTTGGATGCAAAGTGCAACCAAAAAAAAGGGACCCCCCTTATTCCCCAATGGCAGGGTTTGGCTCACTGATCTATTTTCCTTCTTCTAAGAGGGCATCTAATCAAAAGGGAGTCGGGACATGAGCTCGTCAGACGGCCAGATCTCAGCTGAGATGGTCTCTCGTTTCAGGTGGGTACGAAACAAAAACAGCGGAAGAAGGCACAAGAAGGCACAAGAAGGCACTCTGCTAAAAATGGCCAGATCCAGCTTGCAGCTTCGCTGATGAAGAACATGAATCGGATGTGGATGTCCATCGGAGAATCTGCAGTTTTGGCTCCACTGAAGCGGATGTCTTTAGGATCACATGGAGGCAACGATGGATCTCCATGGTCAACCAGGAGTGATTTGGAGGGAAAAAGGGAGAAAGGGAGAAAGGGAGAACTGCGAACCAGTGGAGAACTCGAAACATATTGAACAATTCGATGTCGGTGGATCTGATCTTGGTGGATGAGTAGCAAAGACTTCCTCCACTGAACCAGGAGAAGCCTTTCTAACTTAAAAACAAACAAAAACACATGACATGTCCCAAATACCATGGCTTCAGCATGCTTCGGCTCCAAGAGCCCCCGTAAAAGCCGGGCAACCGATACACCGAAGCGAAAACCCATTGGTTTCTTCATCCTTCACAAGGCGAATCGTTGGGGTTCGTCCGAATCGTTGCTCTCCAAAAACGGTGGGCCTGGGCCACACCGGGCACGTGTTCAGGTCAAACGGATGTGTCACTTGTCAATGCCTCGAGTACTGATGAGTAGTATACATCGATACCGAAAAAGCTGAATACAACGACTGAAGGAATCCTGCACAATCTGAAAACATCATGGGATAATTCAGACTTCCTCATTCCTGATAAAGTTGGATAAAGCAGTTGATGGAAAAAATCCACCAAATACCCACTGAAAGCACTGCAAACAGTCGGATTGCAAACAATCATCCCTATCCCTGCTTGCTGCTTGTGTTTTCAGGTCCATTGCAGGTGCTCTGTCAACTCCACCTATTGAAAAAAGGAAATGTTTGGCGCTCGAGCAAGCAAATCACGGTAGCGAGGAGAAGACACCACAATGACAATGACAAGGTTTGGAAGCTTCAAAAACGGATTGCCACCACTGCCCGACATGCGGAAATCCCGCCACCTGAGCTGCTCTCTCTCTCCTCATCCTGCCACCTATGGTCTGCGAGAAACTTTCAATCCTGCCCACACTGAGGGGCCGACGCAAATGACGCCCAAGAAGAGGCAACACCACTCAGGCTTGGAGATCCCTTGCTTCTCCCGCAAGACAACAGACTGCCTGAGACACTGCTGAGCTGGATGCTTTTGGGCGACAGCATCTTGCCACAGACGACAGCTGGGCATATTCAAGGGGCCCTCAAAAGGTACTAGCACCATCGAAAGACCCTGATCAAGGTTGAACGGGCGCAAATCTTTGTGTGTGTGTTTTATCATCAGAATCAACAATATAGAACTGGAGTCGCGTTGATTGATTAAGAAAAAGAAAGGCCAGCTCTACGATCCTGTGGAAGTCAAACTTCTCATCCGGATAAAGGTCACTACAGCTCCAGTGCACACTTGGACACAGCGTTGGGCCATCTTGTGGCCAAAAGGGTGTTTGGATAAAAGATTATCAAAGCTCAGCGCGAACACAATACCTTTAACAGCATTGCTTTTTTCAACTGTAGATGGCCCGCACTGTTTGGCTCCTCTCGGACATTGCTCCCTCTGCATCCTTTCAGCAACTGAAACACTGCTTAACATTGGCGCAACATTGGCAACTCTTAGATCCGGAGATCACAGGATATGTCCAGACAGGTCCAAATCCCTTTGCATCACTCTGAACCCGACCTGGTCACTACCTGAGGTGTCCCAAGCTTCTGGTCACCGCCATGTCTTCCGGCGAAGAAGTTGGGGATGGGTGACAGGAAATTCGCCCAGTCAAACGTGGCAATCCCCCAAAACCTGGTGCTCATGTCTTTTCTGCAAACAGCTGTTCGGTAGCTAGCGATCACGTACCTCCGAAAAAAATGGGTACCAGATGGTAGAAGTACCTACCTAGAGTGTGAGTGACCTTTGTTTTGTTGATCCTCCAAAATAGAGGTCACTCAGGCTCCAGGTATGGGGTCATGTTCCGGTACGACCGGTCTGTTGGGTCCTGGTCGACCCCCGGTTCTCTCTTTTCGTCCGAAGTCCAGCCGGTCGGTTTGCTGTCCTGTACACGAAGACATCACAAACGCCCTATAACTATCACTAAGGCAGGCTCACATCTTTTTTGAGGCATTTGTCCGCGCTTCCTTTCTGCAAAGCTTTTGGCACCTCTTTCTTCAAACTGGCCACGAAGAAGGATTTCAGCTCACTCTCATTCAAGGCGTGCAAGGTGGCACTCAGCATTTGATCCTCGAAGTTCTGCGCCAGATCCTTGGATTTCGGATTCGGGCTATAGAAGCCTTCCACATCGACAAAGGGACCAAAGGTGCGATCCTGTTCGATGGCCACATCACAGGCCTCGACCCGATCTATACCGCGGTCTGGAGTGAAAAGCTCCTGGTTCATCTTCTTCAGGGTCTCCTGAAGAACAGATGTCCAATAGAAACAAAAAAGAAACATGCTAACCCTGTTCAAAATTCGAACACGTCTCCAAGGGTTCTCTAAGGGACAAAAGAGCTTCGGGGGGGGATCCATGAGTGTCTATCGTTCTTCAACACCGGTGGTGAAGAACCTCTTCACCGCCCCACCTCACAAATCCCTTCCAAAAAAACATATCGGCGCTCTCCGGGAGTCTCCTGCATCTGTGTCAAGATCGCTGCATACTTCGGATCCTTTGCCAAGTCCTTATGTTCCGTCGGATCATCGCGGACGTTCATCAAGCAGCCCGCCTCGCAATCGAAGCTCCAGGTTTGCTGAGCCACCTCCTGACCGGTGCCCGACCATGGAGTGAATTGGCCGAAGATCGAATCCGGGGCCGGAGGCTGCGGCCCCTGGAGCTTGGCCCGAGACTTCACGGTGGAGCAATTGGGATACAGGGGCCCCAGCCAGGCAGTGAGTGGCTGTTTCCCTGTGACCAACTTGTAGGGCCACATGAAAAGTGCCTGGCTACTCAAGTGCATGGCATCCTTTCGTCCGTTCTGGTCATTGATGATGTTCTGCCACTGTGGTACACTGTCCACTGGATGAAGCAATGGAAGTCCCTTCTCCTTCAGCCACACATTGGCTGCCTCAGCCTTCAAATCTCTCATATCCACGCCAGCCAGTTCCGTTAGGGTGCCATACCAATCGGCCACATTGATGATGCCCTCGAACTTCTGCCCACGGCGATGAACCGGTACAAAGCCTCCGGAGACGAAAGCATTGGTGCGAATGCCTCCTTCCCAATCATTCGTCTTACTGCCCCGCAAGGGATAATTGGAGGCAGAACCAGGTTCATAGATTGGTCCACCATTGTCTGAAGTGAAGATGATCAAGGTGTTGTCATACATGTTCTTCTGCTTCAAGGCCTCCACGGCTGCTCCAACGGCTGCATCCATGTAGAGAACCATGGCCGAATACAAACGCCGATTCTGATCATCAAAGGCCTTTCCACCAGCGGCCTTCACCACTTCATCGATCTTGGACAGCCAAGCTTTGGGAATTTGCAAGGGAGTATGGACCAAGTGGAAAGAGTAGAACAGGAACAAGGGGCTGGTCACATTGTGGTTCTGAATGATCTCCAGAACCCTCTCTTTAAACAGATGTTCTTCATAACAACCAGGATCTGACTCTTCATCCATCTCACAAGCTGCTGAAAGCGAGATGGCATCCCGCACAGGCCCACAGTAAGTGGCGTTGTGCATCGAAAGATCTTTCATGTGGTTCAAGCAAGCATCCACCTCTCCCGTTCCAAGTTTACTTTTGTGCCAGTAGTCATTGGCATGCTGGTAGTAGCCATACCAAGTCTCATAGCCCCTTCCCCTGGGCGAATGTTCAGGGGTGGCCATCCCAGCATCCCTATGTGTTCGATAGCCAGCATCCCGCAGCTTCTCAGCAATGCCTGTCATGTTGCGCGGAATGCCGGCATAGCCACTCACAGGGTCCTCATAATTCTGAGAGGTGACTGGTGAATTGACGGAATTCACATGCACCGCCAAGCGTCCTGACTGGATGGAAGAGCGAGAAGGAGAGCAAATCTTGTAGGCATAGTGACGGTCCAAGAGTACCCCCGCATCAATCAACGCATCGATGTGGGGAGTGTGAACCTCTGCCTTTCCTTGCAGCTCTTCGGGCGAAGCTCTGCCAGAAACGGCTGCAACGCCTTCCCGACGATGCACACCCAGGTTGCCCCAGCCATAATCGTCAGCTAAAATGAACAACACATGCGGTTTCTCGGCTTTCGCTGCAACTCCCAAGGGGACCAGGGCAAAGGTGGCAAAAGCCAACAGCGCCATGAATGAACTGGGTACAGTAACTAGAGCAAAACAAGATTTAAAAAAAAAAAAAACACAACAAGGTAAATGCGCTATGTGATTCTATAGTCACCACCTACTTCTCATGTGTCCAAGTTGCTAGTGTCGATATGTGTGTCTCTCTCTCTCTATTCTGAACGTCCAGCTTGTTTACGTCACCCGGCGGAAACCTGGGGGGGCGCCATCCAAAACCGTTGTTGTTCACCTTCACCGTTGTTGTTCACCACGGGGTTGATGGACCAATTATTTGGATCTTAAGATATCTTTGTCATCGCTTCAACTTGCGATCCCATGTGCAAACCACGGATAGACATCAAGTTTGATCTTTGGAGAAGGTACAACCTCGAGAACTGCTTGGACAAAATGAACGGAACACACAAAATGCACCATGTTAAGTCTTAATTCGCTGCGCTGGCTCCTCACACAAAGTCCAAAAACACCACTAGGTCAGATTCCAGTTGGAACACGACTGAAGTCTAGAGCCTTACTCTGCAGGGTCGAGTCGCCAGCAAAATCTGGGAACGTTCCCTCCCCTCCTGCCCTAAACCCACTCCAATCATGATCCGACACAGTCATCCCCGATTCGACGATCGTCCAGCACTGAGCTTGGGCACATGATGCTGGTCGTAATAGGCGAGCAGGATCGGATGATGAGATGCAAGGGCAGCGGAATCAACGACCTCGAAAACATCACTCGGCGCGTTCCGAAGTGATGGTGAATGGTTCATGTTGATGGATGTAACATGAGTTAACCTCCTTTCAAGGCCACAAGCATCCACAAGCCACCGCTGCAAAACGATCTCCGGTTGCTGCTCAAGTCTGCTAAGGCTAAGATCTCATGAACCATGCCGAAAACCAGCATGAGCTCACACCACAGTCTTCATTTAGAAAGCCCCTTTTGCGGAGAATCCCCACCAGTCGTCTACCTAGCGCTTCCTGTCGGGGTGCCCTGGACAGGGAGACCTGTAAGTCGTCGTGTGGAGATATCCAGCGTGACCCCGAACGCCCGGAAGCAGCTGGTACCTTGGTCCACACCGCACTCTTCACACCACAGTCTTCATTTAGAAAGCCCTGGTTCGGAGAATCCACACTAAGTCAGTCTACCTTCAACCACACCGCACTCTTCAAACGACCTGTCCTCTGCCGGAGGCTGGGCGCCCCAGCATGGACAGGAGATTAAAGCCTCGGTCGGAAGGGTCGAAGATCGGGCACCGAGTCATGCTGAGTGACATCGAAACCGGGCCACTGATGAGGATATATGTACAGAAAAAGACCTGCCAGGGCATCTGGGGCGTAGGTTTTTGATGTGGAATTTGAGGCGTTTCTCTTTTTCGCTTGAAAACTAAGGCGTCCATGTTCCTGCATTACTCGAGAATGTCCCTTCAATGATCGAATCATCATGTTCCCTGCAGTCTCATCTGACTTTCAGGCCAACTTGCCCAACAAAATCAAGTTCACTGAATTCCCCCAAAACATCGCAAGGAATCAGAAGGCACTCAATTCGACTGTTGTTTTTTTTGAGATGATGTTTGCCACAAGCTTGACCCATCATTTACATATATAATCCATTTATGTCCATTGGCATCAATGATCAGCGCGACTTGGGAAGATCTGAAGTCCAGTTTTGAATTCACATTGACTTCAAAAAAAATCGAAACCGACTCTCTCAAGTCTGAGCACATTCCATAACCCTAACCTTCCCGTCCATCCTTCCACCCTCAACCATCCACTTCCGAACCCATCGACCGAGACGCCGAGGCGTCGGTCACGGCCGATGCGTCTCGTCGCGTTCGCGCGCCGTCACGGCACCGTCACGTTGCCGAGACGCCGATGTTCACGGTGAAGGCCAAGCTGAGGACCAAGACGAGGCGAAAATCCTTCCACCTCAACCCGACCCGACGGCGATACGGCGATCGTCGACCCGTGGGCTGATCGACGGAGGGGGGGGGAAACAGGTACCCGCTTGCACCCCGGTGCGAAAAAGGGGTGGCGATCAGAGCCACTGTGGGGGGTGGGCACGTGGCCAATCCGTGGCCAATCTGAATCAAGCAAAAGCTTCTACAGCATAGGCTGCATGGGTTGTTAGCAGCTGCTCGTCCATTGTGGTCATCAACCTATGAAGCAAATGGCAAACATTTCGTGAGGAAGCGGCGGAAACCATTGGGGAAGCCTCGTATCATAGTAACTCTCGCCAGTTAGGATTAAGACGATGCATCCAAAAAAAAAGCAAACAGCGAGTGGGTCTGAAATTCTATACACCCAAAAGTACAGGTAATCTGTTCCCGTCAGGTGACACAAACGCATCTACTGATGGTCATCTGGTTGCTGTGGGACCCGTGGGACACGTAAAACGGTGTCTGTTGGTGAGTTGCTGCGTGTTTCTGTGTTGTTTTTGGACTTGGTTCTTATTGGAGGTGCTTCTGTATCTTGTTTTTGCTGCTTTTGTGCTTGCATTGGTGTTGTGCTAGGTGGTTGTTGCTGTTGCTGCTGTATTTGCTGCTCTTGTCAGTTGTGTAATTTGTGTTTGCTCATCTTGCTCTGCCCTATCGTTGTGTGCAATTTATGTGGCAACTTAGAATGCACACTTGTTTGACATTCGCAGTCGCAAGAATATTGTGTGCAAATAGTGATCAAGCCCTGCACTCAGGATATTTGTTATAGTTGCTTCCAATTCTCTGAAAAGCAACACAAACATGGAACATCCTGCTCCATGTGGGAGCCCAAAACCATTCTGAATGACTTGAGCGTTTCCCAGCATCCAGGTGTGGTCACTGGAAGAACTCCCAAATTCTTGCGTCCTATGCAAATAACGTCAAGGTCCTGTGCTGGAGCTAACCAACCAACCTCAACCCAGCAGCATCCAGCTTTGTTTGCCACAAAGAAACATCCTGGATCTTGAGCGATCTTTACATATCTTTCCCAATCCCATGTCATCAACGATGATACACTGCCTGAAACCCTCATAGAAGTGGAACGTAGGCCACTGGAAGACCTGTTTCCTCTACTAGGGGGTCCTGGTCAGCTTCCACGTTAGTTTTCAGTATATCAGCAAAAGCAAAACCTCCAAACTCCACGGGTGCTTGTTCTCCCCACGCATCTCCCCACCGGTCCCACCGGTGAGTCTTGTCTTCGACCACCGAAACCACCCACCCCAACAGAGGTAGGCCAGGAGCGGCGCCTATAGGGATCTATAGGGTATAACAGCCCAAGTGGCGCCAGTTTCTTGATCTCCACTGTGCGACCGAAGAGTTTGGAGCTCAAGACGAAGGTGAGCATCAGGCTAAAGCTCACCTCGCTTCGCAGCAGCGAGGCCAGATTCCAGGGACCGAAACGAGCTCGACGAGTTGGACCGTGGACGAAGGGGAACTCTGGAAGTTTGCAATGGCATCGGTCAGAAGGTTGCGAGGTGTGTTGGGTCGTTCGAACATGCAAAACAGGGTAGCCTGGTTGATTCTTGCGAAGGGTGGCAACAAATGCAAAAAAAAGCTCGTAGGATCTCGTAGGCAAAGTTAGGGGGACGAACTCCCATCAAGCCAAACTTGCTCTCTTCCACAGAACTCTGCCTTCGTTCTGCAAGTCTTGCTCCTCGCACTTCACCCCACACTTCACTCCAAAATCCCAGCGCTGGGTCGTTCCGGGAACGAGCATAACAAACCCGCTTTTCCATGCTTTTCCCAACACGGCCCCACCCAACGAGTCCGCTCTTCCATACCCCAGGCGCTCCATGGGACTGCCAGGACAGACTGCCGAGAAACGGCCAGGGGTGGTGCCAGGGGGGTCAATTGATCGGCATATATGGCATACTACATGGAGTGTCTGGGTATTCTAACTCCACCATGTTCCAAAAAACAACGGACCACCTCCCACCCCCGTCCTTCCCACCCTCCTCCCCCTCGTCCCGTCCTTCCCCCGAGGGCGTGGCCAGCTGCTGCGTGCCCACGACGAAGAAGGGCGCCGGCACGCCACGAAGGTCTTTACTCAACTGGCGAAGCGCGGTTCCGCGCGGTAGGCGGTGATGGAAGGGAGTGGAAAGGCTGCGGAAAGCGCGGTTCCAGAAGGACTAGCGGCCAGAAGCGAGACATGGAAGGCAGCCAGCATGGCAGCCTGGATTGCCATAAGCAGGTGATTTCTGCGATCAACTGCGATACCGGATTGTGCTGATTGGAATCGTACTTGATTGAGAGGCAATTTGTTTTGAGGTTTTGCTGACAGGCATTAGGATTTGTCCAAGAATGTTGAGAAAGGTCAGTCAACCCATGTAATTATCTACGGCAGGCAAGCTGGACCATCAAAACCTCGAACAAACCAGGAGTGTTATCGGATATCGTCTGACTTCTTGAGGATCTGGCTATGCGATGGATCGTCCAAGTACAGTAAAAACAAACATGAAATGAAGACCCAGTTTCACAAACTGGAATCCGACATTCCCCATCGCCCATTCCGCGCATGTTCATCTTTTTATCAAACACATCACCTCGGTCTCTTCACTCAGACTTACTCAAAAAAAACTTCTGAAACCCATTTCCTCACGCTCCCTGCACGGTCCACGCTAGAGCCGCCCGTCGCGTAGACAAGCACCGGTGACCGTACTTGGGACGGAGCCTGAACTTGGGACAGAACGAACTTCATGAGGAATGCCATCCCCACCCTGGTGACGCGTGGTGAGCCAGTGCCGGCTTTTCTTCCCCAAGGCACTAAACAAAAGGAATGCAGTATGTCAAGCCATTCAAAAATGATATGATTGCTTCTCTGCAAGAACACCTTGTTGTTTTGGTACTTATTGCTTCTTGTTGTTGTTGTTGTTGCTGCTGCTGCTGCTGCTGCTAGTCATAAGTCACTTAGACAAAGGTGGCCTCAAACTGACATGGAGTATGCAAACAAGAGATTAGAAATGTCTCGTAAATTCCTTGCAACTGCAGTCTCTCAGTCAAGACCCTTGCTCAGAATCAATTTCAACTTCACCATTCAACCCGCGACACTGT